TATCTTGACACTTTTTAAGCCAAAGCTCTTTCTAAAATTATCAAACCATCCTTCGCTGGCATTAAATTCCAGCTCTAGATCTTTCCCCTTCCTTTTGCTTTAAGTTGTCACACAATGACTTTGCGTTCTTCCGAATCATACTGGAGTCTATAGGTATGCCTTTCTTATAGCAGTCCTGCGCCCACATAAAAGCTGCATTTTCACTACAAGATCAAATGTGTTTCACAAAAAGTGCCTGGTTTTGCACCTGTTGGTATAACTACAATGACGACATCACAGATTTCTTTTCCTTTTTTTTTACAATAGTTCTTACACTGGATTCGTGTGTCTTGAAATGGCGGCAACCATAGCTGCAGACCTCAGTCTACTGTGCGTATAAAGCACTCGGACTTTATCTTATGCCGTCATGACTTTTCTCTGCTTCTTGAGAGCAGAGCACTAGTGGGACTCAAGTCCCATGGTGTGACTTAAGGACTAAACATGACAGAAAATACATGTGAATCACAAGAGATCACTTTTTGCTGTGAGGTGAAATTTGCTGGGGAGGTGAGCTGCTCCTTGGGGATGATCAGCATCACACAGGGCAGCACCTGAAGCAGACACGCAAAACACTTGAGCTCAATGGCAGCAGGAGGCGGCTGCAGAAACATTCCAGTCGCACAGCATGGACTGGGGTCACCTGGAATGCAGCTACGGTTTCATACTGCACCTCTACATCAGTTTACGTTGCTGTTGGCTGCCAGTGACGCTATGCATTGTCTGTAAGTGCGTGTGTATGTAAGTTTTGATAAATTTTAACTTTTTATAAAAGATTTGTGTGTATTTTACGGTAGTAAACGATAGCATAGACTAACATCTTCATATATTTTATGCATTCATGACATATCTTTTTCTTATTTTTTAAAAATATTTCTAGGCTATATGGTTTGCCTGTTTTTCAAACGGTCACAGATCTTCTCAAAATTTTCAATATATCTATTGAAAAAATCTACGTATAGGTGGACCCACACAGCTCAAACTGGACATTGTCAAAGGGTCAATTGTACTATAGAATTTGATTTATATGAAATCTCAGGAAAGACAAACCTATTTGAGATAGAGAGGAGATCAGTAGTTTCCTGGGGCAGAGTCAGGAGGGGTGGGGATTGATCACGAAAAGTACTACTGGGAACTGATGGAAAATCCAGATCTTGTTTGTGGTAGTGGTTACGTGGGTGTATATTTTCTCAAAACTCATCAAATGGTAACTTTAAATAGGTACATTTTATAGCATGTAATCATACTTCAATAAAATTGAGTTTTTAAAAACTTTTATTTTTAAACCCCAGACTTGGATGAGTTATTTGCAATTCCCATACCCAGTGGTGCACTGAAGCCAGCATGCCCTGGCTCATGAGAGCTGGCAAGCACCACTCCCTTCTCATCTGTGTTACATGATGTCGTCTAGGTCGCTTGGATTTAGCTCTGTTGGGAGCATTCAGACGTGGACATTGGCAAAAGCAATCAATCATGACTTTTGTTTTTGTTTTTATTACAAAAACAAAAGCCAGCTATTGAACATTCACCAACACACTGTATGTCTAAAACAACTCATACTCAGAATATATAATAAATTCCTGCAAATCAGTAAGAAACACAAGTAGCAGTATTTTAAAAAGCAAGCAAATGCCTTCAACAGGTACCTCACAAGAAAAGATATCCAAAGTTCAGTGAGTGGCTTTTCTCATCAGGGATATGCACATTAGTGCAACAGTGCAGTATTCCTACACACTTTCCAAAATAAACAAATTTTAAAAGACTGATAAAACTCATTTTGTTCATCAGAATAAATGGAATTATAAAATCAACTAGTGGGAATGTAAATTTCTTTAAAAAGTTGTAGGTATATGCTAAACTAAACATATGTCTATCTATGACCCAGCAATTCCACTTTTGAGGGCACAATGAAGAGAAATTAGTAAATATATCAATGAAAAAGTTTACAAGAATTTTTCTAGCAGCACTATTAATAGCAGCCAAAATCTGTAAACAATCCAAATCTGTAACACTGGGAAAGAGAATGGATAAATAGCACATAGTAGAATTTAATGCAATGGGGCAGCAAAATAAAAGAGTGAAGTACTGATGCATGCAGCAGTGTGGTGCTTCTCACAGACATTGTGCTGAACCAAAGGAACTGGAAACAAAAGAGTTCCATAGAACAGGCGAAGCTACCAATGGGGAGAGAAGGTGGAACAGCAGCTAATGCTTAGGGATGAGGGGCTAAAAAGAGAGACAGCACAAGGGATCATTTAGGATTCTGGAAATGCTCCATATCTTCCACAAAATATTCACTCAGAAGATTATATCCAGCTAAACTGTCAATCAAATAGAAGAGCAGAATAAAGGCATTTTTAGTCCTGCTATGGCTTAAAAATATATATTCCTTGCACCCATTTTCAGAAAGTTACTGGAGAATGTGCTCCACCAAAACAAGGCCATAAATCTAGAAAGAAAAAGACAAGGCATCCAGGAAGTAACAGATCCATCATCAGAGAGAGATGAATGAAAATCCAAAGACAAGAGTGAAGGGAGATCCCAGGAAACCTGTGTGCCAGGCTGAGGGAGCAGCCAATAGAGACTGGCCCACAAATGAGAGAGCTCAAAGAGAAATTGTTCCAAAAAATCAATGAAGCTAATAGATTGTTATGTTTGAACCTCTTGAGTGGAGCATGGAGATGAATGAGTCAGAGTTTGGGGAGGAGCAATTGTTAACTCTAAGGGGAAAAAAACATAAACAAAAACAAAACATGTACAAATAAGAAAATTAAATCTGATTCCACTATTCAGACTTGGCTATGAACAATATTTACTTTATTATAATACACATTCTGAACACTGATGTAACCAAATATTGATATTTTACTGCCTTTGCCTTCTGAGGATGGGAAGAGGGGAACTTTTCATGGAGGTGGTGATAAACAAGAGAAAGTACTTTCCTCCACAATAGGAAATCAAATATCTGAAACTGAAAATGCAAGAAATAACAGAGCATATGTGTTGTTTAATAATTGTGAGATAAACAGGAGAACAAAGAAGATCATGGACCTTGGGAGGGATGCACAATCTGTTCCATTGCCAGGGAGAGGGGCGTATTAAAGGCATTCAGTTTTATAAGGGAAGCAGACCACAAAGGTTTGGAAAATTTGCAGCCTGACTATGTGATAGAAAATAAAAACTCATTTTCTAGGGACAAATTCAAACTGGATGGAGAAATTTGCTTGGGTAGCAAGGAGCCTAATGTTAATCCCCAAGACCATGGGGAAAATGTCTCCACGCCATGTCAGAGACAGTCATGGCAGTCCCTCGCATCACAGGCCCAGAGGCCTAGGAGGAAAAAGTGGTTTCACGGGCCCAGGATCCCCATGCTGTGTGCCACCTGGGAATTGGTGCCCTGTGTCCCAGCCGCTCCAGCTGTGGTTGAAAAGGGCCAACATATAGGTCAGACTGTGGCTTCAGAGGGTGCAAGCCCCATGCCTTGGCAGCTTCCATGTTGTGTCAAGAACTGAGGTTTGGGAACCTCTGCCTAGATTTCAGAAGATGTATGGAAACGCCTGAATGCTCAGGCAAAAGTTTGCTGCAGGAGTGGGGCCTTCATGGAGAACCTCTGCTAGGGCAGTGCAAAAGGGAAATGTAGGGTTGGAGCCCCCCCACAGAGTCCCTACTGGGACACTTCCTAGTGGAGCTGTGTACTGACACCTTGCACTGTGTGCCTTGAAAAACCACAGACATGCAATACCAGCCTGTGATAGCAGCCGGGAGGGAGGCTGTACCCTGCAAAGCCACAGGGGCAGAGCTGCAAAGGCCATGGGAACCCACCTGCTGCATCAGCATGACCTGGATGTGACATCTGGAGTCAAAAGAGATCATTTTGAAGCTTTAAAACTTGACTGTCCTGGGGGATTTTGGACTTATATGGGCCCTGTAACCCCTTTGATTTTGGCCAATTTCTGCCATTTGGAATGGCTGTATTTACCCAATACCTGTACCCGCATTGTATCTAAGAAGAAACTAGCTTGTTTTTGATTATACAGGTTCATAGGTGGAAGGGACTTGCCTTGACTCAGATGAGACTTTGGACTGTGGACTTTTGGGTTAATACTAAAATGAGTTACGACATTGGGAGACTGTTGGGAAGACATGATTTGTTTTGAAATGAGATAACATGATATTGGAGGGGCCAGGAGCAGAATGATATGATTTGGCTGTGTCCCCACCCAAATCTCAACTTCAATTGCATCTCCCAGAATTCCCAGCTGTTGTGGGAGGGGCCTAGGGACAGGTAACCGAATCATGGGGGATGCTCTTTCCCATGCCATCCTTGTGATAGTGAATAAGTCTCACAAAATCTGATGGGTTTATCAGGGGTTTCTGCTTTTGCGTCTCCCTCATTTTCTCTTGCTGCCACCGTGTAAGAAGTGCCCCTCGCCTCCCACCAAGATTCTGAGGCTTTCCCAGCCATGTGGAACTGTAAGTCCAAGTAAAACCCTTTTTCTTCCCAGTCTCGGGTATGCCTTTACCAGCAGTGTGAAAATGGACTAACGCAGGGGCATCCCACCAGAGTCTGCAGATGGAGCAGGAAGGGGTGGCAGAGTAGGGAGCTGGGGGCATTCTCAGCCAAGACACCCATTGTTCAGTGGAGCAGGGCTCTGGGACAGGTAGAGAGAATCTGCTGGTACAAAACACCCTGCCCCTGGTACCAAACATCCCAGTAGCAAAGAAACACAGGAAAAGAGAGGAGGAAAGTGAGGCTGCGTTTTCCAGAGTCACCAACTCATGATCTGTTCAACTCCCAGCTCCACCAGCCGACATGCAGCATTGCTGTGTGTGTTTGCAGGGCACAGGCACCAGCAAGTGGCCAGCATCACTCAAGCACACCTGGGACCACAATAACATCCCACAGCAAGCAAACTAATTAGGGTTGTTTGGATGCAAAGTCTCAGCCACAACAAGGAAAGGGAAGGCTTGTGAGACACCTGTGAGGAAAATACCAAGGGAGAGTATAAAACCTCAGCAGCCAGGGCACACAAACCCACACACCTCACACCAACACTCACACTGCCCAGCCCAGCACCCACCATGGCTGACACCTGCTGCACCAGGACGTATGTGATTTCTGCATCCACCACGTCTGTCTGCTCCAATGACCTGAGCTGTGTCAGCCGAGTCTCCTCCCCCAGCACCTGCACCGGCTCCTCATGGCAGGTGGACAACTGCCAGGAAAGCTGCTGCGAGCCCCCCTGCTGCACCTCCAGCTGCTGTACCCCCAGCCGCTGTGCCCCAGCCCCCCGCCTGGCCCTGGTCTGTGCCCCAGTGAGCTGTGAGCTCAGCCCCTGCCAGTCAGGCTGCACCAGCTCCTGCACACCCTCATGCTGCCAGCAGTCTAGCTGCCAGCAGGCTTGCTGCATCTCCTCCCCCTGTCAGCAGGCCTGCTGCATGCCCATCTGCTGCAAGCCTGGCTGCTACGTGCCTGTCTGCTCTGGGACTTCCACTTCATGCTGCCAGCAGTCTAGCTGCCAGCCAGCTTGCTGCACCTCCTCCCCCTGTCAGCAGGCCTGCTGTGTGCCCGTCTGCTGCAAGCCTGTCTGCTGCAAGCTCATCTGCTGCAAGTCTGTTGGCTGTGTGCCTGTCTGCTCTGACTCTTCCTCTTCATGCTGCCAGCAGTCTAGCTGCCAGCTGGCTTGCTGCACTTCCTCCCCATGCCAGCAGTCCTGCTGTGTGCCCATCTGCTGCAAGCCCGTCTACTGTGTGCCTGTCTGCTCTGGGGCTTCCTCTTCATGCTGCCAGCAGTCTAGCTGCCAGCCAGCTTGCTGCACCACCTCCTGCTGCAGACCCTCCTCCTCCGTGTCCCTGCTCTGCCGCCCCGTGTGCAGGCCTGCCTGCTGCGTGCCTGCCCCCTCCTGCTGTGCCCCCACCCCCTGCCAGTTCAGCTGCTGCCGTCCGGCCTCCTGCGTGTCCCTCCTCTGCCACCCCGTGTGCTCCCGCCCAGCCTGTTGAGGCCTCTGCTCAGGCCAGGAGTCCAGCTGCTGCCAGGCACTTCCCCCAGGGCCAGCCATGCTCAGGTCCTGATCTGGCTTAGGTGGCTGCCCCCACCTGGGGACAGGGTCCCCATGTCTCCACTGTGCTGAGGTGACCACCCTCCTTGCTCCCAGGAGCCCCCATCCTTGCTGCTCCCCAGCTGCTGCCTCCCAGCATGTGCCCACCTGCCTGCTGGGCCCCGTCCTCCCTCCCAGCTTCTCTGCCCCAGGTCATTTGGCCTCAACTTGAGCCTGTCAGCACCTCCTCCTGCTCCCAATAAACTCTCCTTGGTCACCTGATTCTCTTCTCCTGTGTGCTCCTGGTGGGGGGGACACATGGTTTGAGCTGACATCGGTCTCCTCCAGCCATGACTGTTTCTAGGAATGAGTGACTTAACCTAGAAGTCACAGGGGACAATGGCCTAACTCCTCCAGGGGGTCACCAGGTGGAACTCACGGCCATGCCCAGGAAGGCTTAGTCCCCGCTCAGTCCCAATGCCCAAGACTTCCTGAGCCTGGTCATTTGCTGCCATGCCCTGGCTGTGGAGCTCTCCAGGCCCCAGGACTGTTGCACCCACTGTCCCACCTGGGTGAGCCCACCCTGCAGTTCTGGAAAATCCCCGGCACATGTACATAAGCGGCACGGTCTGTTACCATGAGACAACCAAAATATCCATCCACGAGGGAATGGACGTGAATGGAGCCAGCGCTGCAGCAGGGGGCCCTGGACAAATGCTGTGTGCTCACTGGAGCCAGGCACACACAGGAGCGCAGGTGCGCAGGCTGCGGAAGAAAGCCCAGCCTGCACAGCCTGCCAAATGAGGCAGCGCTCTCCGGAGCGCCTTGTGCTGGGCTGGGTGGGTAGAGGGTGGGTGGGAACAGGAAGACCCCAATGGAAGAGGAAGCTGGGACCACGTGGGAGCACATGCAGACCAGAGGGTGAGAGAAACACGTGGACACACAGGTCCAGAGGTAGCCAGATGTGCTTTCAAACAGGATTGAGCAAATCTGAGAAGACTCCTGGAAATGCAACTGCAGGAAAGGGACGCTGGCAAGGTGTGACCATCCCCATGTTGCCCGCAAGAGGCCCTGAGTCTTTACCTCTCAAGAGCTGTACGGTCACAATGTGGGGGCTACATTATTCTCTCTTTGCCAATTTGATAAAGAAAAATGTCTTACAGTTTTCTTCAGCAAGGTGCGCAGCATTCCAAAGTGTGGACCCGCCACACCTGAGGCACACAGCAGCAGGTGGATGGCATCGAATGTCTCTCCAGCTGCTCATTATTAAAAACAACACCTCTGTGGGTGTTCCTACCATATACCTTTCCACACTCAGGTACGTGTTTGCCTAAATTCCCAGGAGTGGCACTTCTAAGCTGGAGTATTTGCAGATTATGAATTCATAGAGATGCTTAGAAATACCCTCAAAAAGTTTGTCTGAACTGTGCCTGCTAAGTCCGATGACAGAGGAAATGGCACAGCGGGGAACTGGAAGGGCCTGTTCCTCCATGGAACGTCAGAAACCAGCAAAACAAAATGATACGGTTGGACTTCATGTCCCCACCCAAATCTCATCTTGAGCAGGTGTTGATGGAGAGAGCTGGTGGGAAGTGATGGAGATGGTTTCCCCATGCTGTTCTCATAATGAGTGAGTTCTCACCAGATCTGATGGTTTTATAAAGCAGCTCTCCCTGCTTTCCCTTGCTTCTCTCTCTACCACCATGTGAAGAAGGTCCTTGCTTCCTCCTTGCCTTCCACCATGATTGAAAGTTTCCTAAGTCCTCCTCAGCCATGTGGAACTGTGAGTCAATCAAAGCTCTCTCCTTTATTAGTTACCCAGTCTTGGATAGTATCTTTATAGCAGTGTGAAAAAGAAGTAATACACAAACAAAACAAACACTACCTGGTAAAATCAGCTTTAACTGAACTATGGAAAATAGTTGAAGGTTTGTAGCAAGCAAGGGAACACATAATCAACTAAAAGCAACAGAATCCAATAGGAGAGCCTTGTAGATTTTAACTTCCCCTTGCCCCATCCCCCATCCCCAGCAGGGTGACAGTCAGGAAGACGGCAGCTGGAGTTCCTGGTGTGGTGTGCTGCTGCCAGGGAAGCAGAGGGGACCTTGTTTGCAAGGCAGTGCAGTTGTCCATTTCAACCCACCTGGCAGCTCCCTGAAGGGCTAACACACAGGGCTTGCCTTATTTCACCAACTCAGACTCTCTCAAGGCAGAGAAGCAGCTACATGGAGGGTGTGTGTCTGAACGTTTAAAGATAAATGAACAAGTCACTAACACCTAGGTCAAAAATTCTCAGTTGGGAAAACAATGGACATGCCCAAAAAGTCTGGGAGGAAAAGCTGGGAGATGGCATGCTTTCAGGAATAAGGGTGTTGGGAGATTCCACATATTCTTGGAAGTCCAGAAGCCCCTGTGCATGTCCATGATGGGGCAGAAGCTCAGAAAAACCGAGCAGCTCTCAGTTCTCACCTCTGGCTGAATTTCAGGCTCTGGGCAAGCAGGAAGTGAAGGTGCAACAGGAAGTGAAGGAGCAAGCAGGAAGTGAAGGGGAGGGCAGAGTCACAAACTCCCCAGCTGAGTGCTGAGGGTGTGGACCAACATACACAGCCCAGTTACAAACCCTGCAGAAAAATATTTCTTCATTCCAGGGGTTTAGGGAACTCTCTGTCAAATTACTATCTGAGCAATAAGCTAATAGAACACGAGCACACATGATAAGGAAACTATTTTTTTAAAGTGGCATAAACAAACAAAAACAACCACAATCTACAGCAATCAGCAACAGCAAACTGTGCAGAGGGAGGAGAACCTGATACCCAGAAATCTCCCACTGTCACAGTCACCGTCCAGTTCTCAGCAGAGGCATGTGCCATGCAAAGCAGCAAGAAATATGCGCTACTCACGAGGGGAAAGCAGGTAATAGAAAATCTTCCTGAGGAAGCCCAGAATTGGACTTACTAGACAAAGCCTTTCAATCAACTCTCTTAAACGTGTTCAAAAAACTAAATAAAATCCCAAAGAATTAAAGTAAACCAGGAGAATGATGCCTCACCAAATAGAGAATATCAGTAAAGAGGAGGAATTTTAAAAATAAATTAAATAGACGTTCTGGAATTGGAAAGTACAATCACCAAAATAAATAATTCATGATATGGTTGCAACAGCAGATTTTAGCAGCTGTAAGAATTAGTGAATGCAAAGAGAGATCCATTAAAGTAATCTAGTCTGAGGAGTAGATAAGAAAATGAGAAGTAGGTGAGAGAATGCAGAAAAATGAACAAATCTGAAAAGACCTGTGGGACTCCATCAAGCATACCAACATACTTAGCAGAATTTCCCAATGAAGGGGAGACAGAGGGAGCAGAAAAATGTAGTTAAAGAAATAATGGCCCAAACTTCCAAAACTGAGGAAACACATCAATCTAACTCAAAGAGATTCACACAAAAACATAGTATAATATAATCAAACTCTCAAAAGTCAAAACAGAGAGAAAATCTAGAAAGCAGCTGGACAGAAGACCAACAGCAGATTTCTCATCAGAAACCATGGAGGCCAGAAGGCCTTGGGATGACATATGTAACGTGCTGGGTGGGGCCAGGGGCAGGGAGCACCCAGCAAGAAAAATGACATCTGCCTCTGGCAAGATTATCCTTCAAAAGTGAAGAAGTAACACATTTTAAGGTAAACAAAACCGAGAGAGCTCATTGCTGAAAGATTTACCTACAAGAAATGCTAATTCAGGCTGAAATATAAGGACACTAGATAGTAACCTGAAGGAATATGAATGAAGAAAGCTCAACAGCAAAGGTAGCCATGTTGGTAGTTTGTGTTTTTATAGGAGTTTTTCCATTACATCTTGGTATCTACTTTGTTGGGTACAAATAATACATTTGTTGGTGGAGACACAACTGTCTATATTTGTCAAGACACCAAATCCACACCAAAGGAAAAAAATACAAACCTCTCATATTGATTAAATAACTTGAATCTAAAATTAAAAGCTTTCCTACAGAGCCACCTACAGACCCAAATACTTTCACTGCCTAATGTTCCCAAACAACTGGGAGATAAATAATACCAGTCTTAAATCTCTCAGCTTGTTTGATTAGGCTGTTATAATTTTCCAGACCTTAGGAAGTGGGGACCTGAAGTATTGGCTTCTAGTGAGAGCAACTGAGGAATGCTATGTGCTGCCCAGGAGGCCACATGGGTGTGACCTGGAGACATGATGGCCCTACTGGGAATGGGCCAGCCACAGGCCGGGAGAATGGCCAGGAAAAGAGCTATTCCTTTCTGGGTGGATATGACTTTTGGGGAGGCATGATTCAACCACTATACTCATCTTCTTCCTCCTGATTTGTGTATTCTTTTATTACTCTGGTGGAGATTACAACATGAATCTATGGCTTTTTAAAGTCTAATATAAATTCAATCTTAAATTATTTCCCAGACAGTGCAGTGTACTAAGACCACTTTAACTTCATGCAGCCCCCTCCGGAATTTTGTGATCTTCTTGCCATGTACTTTATTTCTATAAATATTTTACAACTTCTAAGATATCTTATACAGTAAATATTCATTTAGATTTTCCCATGTGTGTCCTCCTTTTGTTACACTTCATTTCCTTATCAACTTCTTGCTTCCATCTGTGATCATTTTCATTCTGCCTAATTATCTTTTAATTTTCTTTAGTGCAGATGCTGCTGGTGACACATTCTCTCAGTGTCCAGAGAACATCATTTTCTGTCGTCATTTTTGAGGCTCTTCTTCCCAGGTGTAGAATTCTAGTTTGATGCTTCTTTTCTTTCAGACAGTAAATATATCATTCCATCGTCCTCTGCTTCCATCATTTCCACTGAGAAGTCATCTGTAAATGTTACTGTTGCTTCTTTAAAGGTAATATTTCTCGCCCCCCGACTCCGGCAACCCACCCCAGCTGTTTTAAAATTTTTCTCTGTCTGAATTTCAGCCCCAATATGCCCAGGTGTGGTTTCCTTTGTATTCACCTTGCTAAAGATTCTTAAATGGTTTTCACATCTATGGGTTAATGTCTTTCGAATCACTTTAAAGTTCTTGTCTATTATACCTTCAAATATTTTACAACCCCTATTTTACTCACCTTCTATGATTTCAACCATTTATATTCATAATTATTTACAACGTTAGGATGTGCTTATTACTGCACTTTCTTCCCTCTTTTCTTTCCCATCTCTGTGCTCAAGCCTGACATTTCCTCGTCTCCCTTCGCTAATGTTCTCTCTGGTTTTGTCTAATATGTTGTTTAGCTAATCTACTTAGTTCTTAATTTCAGCTATTATGTTCATTTCCAGAATTTCTATTTGATTCCATTTAAAAAATCTAGCTTGACACTGAAATTCTCCATTTGTCCTCTGTTTTCTTGAGCAAGCTAATCAGCATTACTTTAAATTCCAGTTTGACAATTCTAATATCTAAAGGCCCCGTGTATCTGCTTCTCTTGTTGGTTTTTTCCTATTGGTCCTTTGGTCTTGTCTTCTAGTACCCCTAGTAATTTTTGACTGAATGACGGACT